TGTGTGTGTGTTCTGTCTGGATGGCTGTAAGGTTATTTTATCGGTGTGTTTTCTAGTTTGATCGTTAGATGTACTCTGTATGAAATATGTCACAAAAATTTAAATTGATTCCTGGAATGCTGTAGCCAGGGTTGTTTCACAATAGGCCGGTGTTGTGGCCGATGATGTATTGATTATATTGTTATAAGGTCTGTGAGGAACATGCCAGCAATGGGACTTTACATGAAGATGGTTCGTAAAGTTTTAGTTTGACTAGTGACTCAAGGTTATTTCCACACAACAAATAAAATTAACCTAACCAACTTGTTAAAACATCTTACTTTACCATGTGGACAGCTTCACTAAAACCTTCCAAACCTTAACCAGGTTCAACTCATGTTAAACTTTATAAATACACAGACACACACACAGAGCGAGAGAGAGGGGGGAGAGAGAGAGGGGGGAGAGAGAGAGAGGGCGAGAGAGAGGGGGAGAGAGGAGGGTGGGGGTCCAGATGTTTGACAGGTCCACATCAGGGTCCTCGCTCACCACAGTCCTCTCTGTGGACCCACTGAACAGCATTCACTCTGCCTGTGTGTCCGTTCAGCACAGCCGCGACTCTTCTCTCCTGCAGTTGTATCAAATCACATGTTTATTAAGAAACGAACCAACACGAATCATTGTTTACTCGCTCGGCTCTGTCGCTGACAGCAGCTTCACTGACTGGACGCCATTACACAGAGTTCACTACCTGCGGGTCGTACAGAGCCACTGAGTTACACGTCCCGAACGCAATGGTCCCCCCGCGACTCCAGGAGACAACATGTGGAGTCCTGTTAGCGCAACAAGCGACGTGACATGTTTCCATCACGGGTGCCGCCATCTTGGAAGCTGGAGATGCGGTGTTGCTGTAAAAAACGGCCGTAGTGAAACCCCTCCGCGCTAACACGTGTTCCGGATCCAGAGGTCAGTGCAGCACTTCAACAAACTTTGATGTTAGTGTGTTTTAAGGAAAGTGTTCACACACGATATCAAACAGAAACCGTTTTTTTCATGGTTTAGTATTATTCAGTATTTTCTGAAGCAAATACTGCAGAACTTTGACTCACTGAAGTGCAATGTGGAGCAGTGTCCACTAGATGGCAGAAAATGACAACAAAATCCAGGGTTTTCTCTCACTTTGTTTAAAAACTGGTCACGTGGGCTTTATTGATCACTTATTTCCTGCTCAATAATATTTAAACTTATATGAACCATCACTGCAGAACGAATCTTACTAATGAATCTTACTGTCAGTGCACAGTGGAATTAATCAGTCGTTTTAAACTGTGATTCGATGCTGGTGAATCCACAGTGTGAAATAAAGTGAAGGGGTAGTGATCATTTATTTGTGTGTATATACCCGGAGTCAAACTTTAGGCCAGAACAGAGCTTTTGTTCATTTAGAGTCATATTTGGAGACGTTTCAGGGGATGGACGCTGGGGACTTTAAACATTGGGCCCCCCATATATCAAGCTACATGCTGCATCCGTCTAGTGTCTGCAATTGGCACTGAAGGCAACTCATTACTGAACTGTATTCACACAGGAAAATGGAAATTTGTCCTCTACTTCTTCTTTGAAGGGTTTGGCATCATAATTCAATCTCTCTTTTATTTCATATACCATGTAAAATATTCATCAAAATCCAAATTCCTGATGCAAATGTACATTATTTTGGAATTTCACACACAATCAAGACACCACAGTATATATATATACTCACACACACACACAGAGCTAATGTCGGGATGTATTATCTTCTCTGAAGTGATGGTGAGTGGTCGCAGCTGAGCGAGCTGCCAGCCAGACAGCCTTGCTTGTTACAAAAAAAGCCCCTGGGCCTTTTGTATTTTAAAGGTTGAGGCAACAGTTTGTCACAAGGACTTTCCAAGCACCTACTTGACATGATCAGGGGGGAGAATGTGGTGGCATCTGTGAGCCCTTGAGATAATATGATAAATGACAATGTTGCAAAGATAAACCGGGGTAGAGCCGGAGAGGACATGAGAAGGGATGGAGAGGAACAGGAAGGGTTGCCTGGGTCTTTTTTGGGTGCTGCCTCTGTGCTTGGCTTGTGGTATATATATGTGCATGACAAAGGAAAAACAGATGCGGGCAGAAAATAGATGGTGTTCATCTCTCTGCTGTTGTCCCAGCTCACTCTGCCTCAGTGAGACAGGATTCAAGCAGACTTGGCAGGGCGAGACGACCTCTCTGTGGAGCACACCCGCGCATCTTTGGCTCTCATCTCAAGAGAGGCAGTGAGGAGATAGCTGGGATGGAGCCAAACAGCTGCGTCTGTGAAAAAACCCCACATCACTATTATCTCTGTGCCTCTTTGACGATGCATTCATCATGCTCTTGTGGGGAAATGCCTGTACCTGCTTGGATAATGCAGAATTAATTGGATCACATGTAATAGGTCCTTGCAGGAGAGAGGAGATTTATTTAAGATGGATCTTGTCGATTATCTCCAGGACAGAAGACGGATACGCCTTAATGTGAGATGTTTTGTGAACATGTCTTTGCACCACGTGATTAATGCTCTCACTATTCACATTCTTTAAAAGTACCTGATTCTTTAACCACAATAATAACAGGAAAACACTTTTTTTGTGTAGTGAAAATAAGAGAGATCAATCTGGGTTTGCTTAACTTGTTTATCATTCAAGTTGTGTTAATTTAATATACTTTTATCTTTATTTCTATTAAAGCAGAAATGATTAAATTGCATTTGGATTTATCATCCATTTAATTCAGTTCATAAGTCAAAATCCAACCTATAGCCCCACCCTCTAGGATTTATAAAAGATTTTAAAAAAGTGTTCAATATTGTTTTGATGTTTTATTCATTCATCTTTTTGCCCCTTATGTTGTGCCTGAGGAGATCTGAGGCCGTCTTGGGAGAGTGGATAGTAATTCAGTGAATCACTATGACGAACGACATACTTATGGAAATACTTAAGGGCTTGTAGGATGATGGAGAGAGACCTTGTGTTTTTCTCTTAATACTTTAATATTCATCATGAGTTTACAGCGTCTTTCTCATTCAATGCCATTTTCTGACTCACTCACTGGAAACGGGTGTGTTTAACACTGTGGTTGAGACAGTGCGTGTAATGACTCTTTAATTATACTATTACACTTTTAAGATCTCATGGAACAAAAACAAAACAGACACTTTCTCTGAGTTGTGTAGAAAAATTATAATTTTCTTGGTGAGTGCTCGGTGTTGCATGCAAGTTCAGTACAATTAAAAAAACAAGATAAAGAGTGATAACTCATTTTAAATGTTGAGGTTGAAGAGTGGCGATCATATTCATTTTAAACTGATAATTTGTGTTGATTTTCTCATCAAGATATATGTCTTAAAAAACTTTGTTGAACTTTAAAGTATATTTTTAATAGCACTATGGAAACCTCAACCTTTGGAAACAAATATTTTATACCTTATGTATTCCCCCACCAGTTAGGTGAAAAAACACCTGCAGTAACTCAACAGGTTATATACATACGTGTTTACATCTTTGGTGGTCATTAATACAATTTCACAATTAGCAGTGAACAAATATTTGGTTTACATGCAAAGGCAGAAAAATAAAACTAAGCATTAAGTGTCCATGTATGTATTACATCACTACATGTTAATATATTCTGGTATTTTAAACTGCAGGGAACATTTCTTACAAATGACGCAGTGAAGAAGTGCTGGATGGAAAAAGAATGATAATGAGTACAAGCAAGGTGTCCGTGATTATGTAACAACAGATGACTGGTCTGGGTGTCTGCATGCCACTTTTTTTTTTGTTGTTGTTGCCTGGTTGTGTTTATGTGGAATTAAATTAGCCTTGTCCCTGAGGGTGTCCACAGAAGGAGGGAGGTAAAAGACAGTCTGAGGATTTGCCCTTTATTAGCTCTGTGGCTTTACTTTAAATGTCCCGTTCTATCCAGTTTCCACTTCTGTTATGCGTACTATTTGCCTTGGAAGGGGTGTAATGTTTCCTCAGGAGAATCCCCGCTGACATAAACATCTGTAAACCGGTCAGGATTAAACTTATCCAACATTATTAACATCTCCTGAGGCTTTACACTGTAAAACTATACAGGGTCAATGTGTGAAAACACTGTGCAGTCAGCTTAACATCCAACCAGGGTGTTTTACCTCAGTTTGACCTCCTCTACTTCCCAGAGGCCTCTCCGGTCACTGTATCATGCTAAGAGGTTCAGTTCAGCTGCAGGTCTCTGTCAAGGCCACGGTAATCGCACATGGACGAATATTCAGAGAAATGTCTCTTCTAAAACAAGTTCATCTGACAAGCAGGCCGACTGGTTATTATTGCCCTGGAAGCAAATTTGTATATAGATGTACAAAGCATGGGATATTAAATGATCAGAATACAAAACAGAATGTTGTTTAGAATATGTATGATGACCATAACATGTCATATGAAACTAACATTTTTTTTTAGGCATAATTGTTTTATCAAACTGGAAATGTTCTACCTTTTTAAAATTCAAGAGGAAAGAAAATCCTTCAACATTCCCCCACAGTCCTTCTTTGAAAATCCCAAATGTTCAATCTGCTTATCAAATACGGGGAAAATTTGACTGAGTGCACTCATTCTATATCCTTTACGGTGCAGAATCACTATCTCTTTAGGCTCAGCAGTTCCTCTCCCAGGAGCGGTGCAGCCTGGAGGAATGATCCACTGAGAGAGGGAGAGATGGAGGACAAGTCAGCACTTCTAAAGCAAGGAGAGGGACAGTAGCAGCTGTTAGCAAAACACAATCGCCCCATGCATAAGCATCTTTTTATTTAATGAGTAATATCCTTGGACCGTGCAGATGAGCAGACACAAAAGGGACTTCCTGCTTGTTTGGAGTTCCAGGCAAATTTATAAAATGCAATGTGCCTGATAGAGATTACAAGCAGAGAAGCAAATATTAAATATGAGATAGTGTTTAGAAAAGAAAACACAAGCCTGAGTCACAGCTTGGCGTATGGCACTGACAAACTCAGTGAGAACCTGCAACACCACTGTGCTTTCTTTGAGCATCGGAAGCTATTTGTCTAGATGATAACTAAACTATTTCCCCCTGAAAAGTTACAGGATGGATCTTATTTCTTATCTTATTCTGCCTACTTCCATTATCAGCTGTGACCACAATACTTCCGCCAACATAGGTTGATACAGCACAGTGCAAGTAGCCCGAGTGGAGCTTGTTATCATCTTATCGCTCAGAGAAGAGCCTCAGAGTAGATTAACAAAAAACACAGATTTTATCCAGCTAGTAGTAGAGCCATTCATCAAAGTGGAACACAACCCTATCCGCTCATGGAAGCCAAACTGCTTGCATGCCTTCATAATGACTGCAGAGTAAATGTGTCTGTGTATGAGGATACATGTGTTTCTCACTGTGTGTGTGCACGTGCGTGTGATTGTGTGTGTGTGACTTTGGAGTGAAACCTGTATAAACAGGGAGGGTTAAACTAAAGCATAGTTTTGGGCTTTTAAATAAATACTGGGCGAGCCTGAGCGCGCCAGGCAGACACACACACACACACACACACACACACACACACACACACACACACACACACACACAAACATAAACACACATTTGCCCTCATGCACACACAGCCATTGTCTCAACTGCTGACACAGGGAGCCAGCCACCATAGTTGATGATGAAGCAGGGCAGCAAAGGGCCTCAGTGCTTATAAGCCATGTCTGCTCTCAGCCATCAGCTGTGTTTGTAATATGAAGTGTTTCTCACCACTTGTCATCCAGTGGCTGTTGTTAAGTTGGAAATAGCTACCGCAGCCACTTGAGGATTTGGCAGTAGTTTGGTCAGGCTCCTATCCAGTCAACAATAAAGTATCCAGGAGCTGTGTGACGGATCCAAGTCACTGGGTCACAAAAAAAGGAGGGGTGCGATTTCTGAGTGTCAGTAAGATTCATTATGTACAATTGATGGTGACAAACCACTTGAACACAGATAACAGTTCAAATCTACACAGGTAGAATGTGTGGACCTCGAATGATTCTGTCTAATCATAACATCCATGTGAGTCATCCTCGCCTGTAAGCCTACCAGCTTGTTTAAAATGAAATGTCATCCTACCAACAAAACTAAATCATATGTTAATCATACATCCAAACATTTAGATCCACATAGAGTGATAGATCTGTTGTATTAATGATGTTGATCTGTTTTGCAAAAGTAGGTTTGGTAACTTGGAAGGTATGTTAATGGTTTGTATTTAAAGGCCCCTTGCTCCATTTCGACCCTGGGTCAACTGCAGCACCTTAGATGGTCAGAACTTTCTTCAGTACAGAGAAAAGTTAAGAGTCAACTTTTTTAGGATAAACACTTCACTCCAGTCAGCGCAGCAGCTTTCCCATGTGGCTCAGAGCAGCCGGCTTTGATTGGCATACCCGGTGTGTATTTGGAGAGGATGATGGGGAATTCTCATACTCCGGGGGATAAAATGGGTTTCTTTGTCTCAGGGATCAAACCAGAGCTGGGCTGCAGCGAGTGAAGCATTGCTCCTATATCTCTTGAGGGCAATGGATGCTCACTCCTCTGAAATCTGCATGGACGGAATGGATGATCAATTATTTAAAATCCTCTTTTCTTTGAATAGATTGACACACTGCTTAATCTGAATGTGTTTGGTTCTAAAGATACTATTTTGACTTGTAATACCTGCTGGAGGTGAGAGAAGAAGCACATTCAATGACAGTTATCATCCTGATTGTCATGTGCAGTGTGATGAACTGCACTTTGGTTAAGCTCTGAGCTGCACATGAGCAGCCTGCAGTGAAACCTGTTTGGGACCTTTTCCAGTATAAACACTGACCTTGTTAGGGCCAGTAGACCTCATGGGACCAAAGCCCAGTCCTAATGAAGCGAAAATACATTTCTGAGGTACAGTCAGGGGTAAGAGGTGAATTCATTAGATTACAGTTTGGGTTAGTCATAAATTGGTTATAGTTAAGGTTGGGTATAAGGTCCATTACGAATGGAAGTCAATGCAAGGTCATACTAAGGATAACTGTTAAAACATGTAGTTCAGGTATATTATGGGGACTTATCTTCATTATGGGGACAAAAATCAAGTCCTCATAATGTAAATCATAAAATGTGAAGGTGAAGACGTTATGTTTAGGTTCAGCTGGGTTAAACTTCTTTCTGTGGTTGCTGCCTCAGGAAGTGAAGAAATAACAGTGAATGATATGTCTAAAAAAAGAAAGAAGACATGGAGACACTACGATGTGTGTGCGTGTCATGTTGTGGGACCTAAATCTTACACAGTCAAATTATGGGGTCTTGTCTTCTGTGTGGGGACAAATATCAAGTCCTCATAATGTAAATCGTTAAATTTGCAGGGGAAGACATGGATTAAGTTTAGGTTAAGGCCAGGGTTAGGTTAGGGTTATACTCAGGTTGAGGTTAAATCCAGGGTTAGGATTAGGTGAGGGTAAAACGTAGGTTAAGGTTAGGTTAATGTTAATTTGGGATTAGGTTACAGTTAGGTTATTGATTAGTTTAGATTTAGGGAACAGTATATGGGGTTAGGTTCTGGTTAAGTCTGCAGGAAATCAATGCATATCAATGAAGTCATGAATGTGTGTTTGAAAGAGAGAGAGAGAGAGAGTGTGTGTGTGTGTGTGTGTGTGTGTGTGTGTGTGTGTGTGTGTGTGTGTGTGTGTGTGGTTGCCCACAGTGGTGTGCTGCAGTCCGCTCTCCGTCGTAGTTGAGTAAACTACACGGACATTAGCGGCCGCAGCGGCTCAGCCACCGAGCCGGAGTGAATTAAAGCCGCTCGATAAACGACCGTGTGACCGAGTGAGAGAGAGAGAACCCCCCGGTGCGTAACAGCGAGTCCTCCTCACCACTTCTGCGGTCACAGAGGGACCAGGCTCCGGGTGAACGGAGTTGTAGTGACCGTGAAACACTGAGCGCCAGACGGGGGAGAGAGAGAGAGAGAGCTCGGCGGGAATGGCTTCATCTCCGTGCGGCAACAGCAACTTCGATTCCGGTCTGGAAATCAAAACTCGCTCGGTGGAGCAGACGCTTATTCCTTTAGTATCCCAGGTTAGTACACCGCTATCGTCAATTAGCACCGTATACATATTTAATCCTCTCAGCGTTTCACACTTTTTAAAAACGCACTCCGGCTTCACACAACATCCGAGCTCCGGAACCATTGAGGCGAACTTTGATTCTCGTGTTTACCTGTTTGTGTGGCTGGTTCTCGTGCTGTGTTTAAAGCCTGCTCCACGTGTGGGGATTTTACTCCATCAGATCCACAGCAACCAGTCTACTTGTTATCGGGTCTTAATTCTTATAGACAACAAACATACAGACAACTTCCAAGTCCACTTGTTTCAAAGCCAGACCCGGAACATGTCATCAAATCTTTTAACATGCGACACACTGCACTACACACACACACACACACACACACACACGGATTTTTGTTGTTGGGCAGAAGTTAGTACATCTTTTACAAAACAAGCTGCACTGTTCTGTGAATAGGGAAGCTAAAACGAGAACAATCATATCAATTGTGAGAAATGAAATCATTTGTATTAGTAATCTGTTATGTTGCTGGAGATCTGTTCAAAAGAACTTTAAAGTTTCCCCCCACCTCTCCACCCTGCCCCTGCTCAATGACTCCCACTTCTGTAATGGGGCCACTTTGAGGCACGTGTTTTGTTTTTCAATAAACAGCAGAAGATGAGAGAGCCACTTAAAGCTCCTGCACTCTTTCAACAACTGCTCTCATCCCAGCTCAAAAAGTGTGGAGTTCAGGCCAGTGAGTCAAGTAATCATTATAGTATCATACAACACATTCAAGATTGATTAGTTATAAGAAGCATGCCGTTTTAGGTTGTTGATTTCCATTTGAGAACAATAACAGACTAGAATGGAACTCATTAGAGCGCATCCCGCCACCAGGACTTAGAGGGTCTCCTCATGAAATTGCATTTATCTTGATTTCTTTATTTGGATCTGCACTAAATTGCGCACACTCATAATAATCAGTCCCCTAAATATGCCAGATTTTTTTTTCATTGAGATCCATGCATCATTCCCTGGGTCATAGGTGAACACGTCAAAAAACACCTTATGCTGCCGTGTTAAAGAGAGTGGGGGAAAGAAATACATGGATCTCCAAAACTCTACAGGCTTTTCCCTGAATCACCAAGTTTTGTGGCAATCCATCCAGCATTTTTTGTGTAATGCTGCAAACTAACAGACAAACAAACAAATTACAAGAGTGCTCAAAGACCACATGCCTCAATCAAGGCTAACGCCCTATCTCTTGAAGAAAATGAAAAAAACACATTTGGAGCCACCCCTTGGTCTGCACCAAAATTCAGTGGATTCTTCCCTTCCCCGTACTGGAAGTTTCGTGTCGATCTGTCCAGTAATTTCTGTGTAATCTCGCTAACAAACAAATAGACAGGGGTGTAATCATAATATCCCTGGTGGAGGTAACAATTACAGGTGACTCACTGAAATGTTCCTTTAACATGAGCTTCACCGCTGCTTCCTGCAAGGTCACATAAGGATGGGAGGTTGGTTGTGTCTCTTGAATAGGGGATTGACCACCATGGTCTTATAAATGCTAATGTCCTCTTGCTGTGCAGGAGCCTGAAGTGAGTCCTGTAAATGTTCTGTTGTTTCCACTCAGAGACACTTGTATAGAGAAATGGGGAGAGACACCTCAGTGGTGGATTAGCAGTAGTCTGGACAATACCATGAAGGAAGGTCCCTGACACTGTCCTTCCCCCTGTCAATGCTGAAAGCCTGCTTCCTCCCTCTGATGGCACTGGCTCATTTGAAAGATATAAGGTCAGGCTGTACCTAATGGATATGGGTTTGCTATCTGAAAAGAACATCTGTTATAAAGGGGTGTGTTTTTTAGCACAGGCTGTTCGTTTAAGGTGATTTTCAGTTATGCATAAATACGCCAAAAAGAATATTTTCTAATTTGGATCCAGGTGAACTGTAACTCTTGATGCAAGCAGCAGTTATTGTAAGAATATTTAAAGTACCCACTGGTGTAGCCACAGTAAATCTGCTGCACTCGGCTTTATCTTCATAATATTTGAGCTGCAGCAAACTTATGGTGCACCCCTGCCCGCTGAGACCGGCTGGCTGTGATCCAGTCTTTAGCATAGAAGAATGTGCTGTATATTGTAACGGGATTCAGCATATTACAGTCCACTCTTGAATAGTGGGCCTCAAGGACGTTTCCAAACTTTCTTTTTCTCCCTCTGTGTAAAGCATGTCCCCATAGCAACAGAGCTCTTCAATGCTGAGAGAAACAAAATTTCCAAGGCCTCTTACGTCCATATTTCTAATCTTTTGTTGTAGGTGAAACTAACGACTGGTACATTAGTTTCAGCTGAAGTGAGCACTTTTCATCCAGTGTGGTCACATGCATGCAGATATCTCTGTTACAGAAAATATGCAGAGCTTGCAGAGCTGAAATGTTTAGTTGATGAATCCACAATCGTGTTTTAATACATTTCAATCAAAAAATAGCCTCAAACTTAGTGGTTCCAGCTGCTCAAATGTGAATATTTGCATTTTTTCTCAGTCTTCTGTGAGATTTAACTGAGTATCCTTGGATTTTGGAGTTTTGATTGAAGAAAACAAGACATTTTAAACCATCACCACTGGCTTTAGGAACATAATGGGCCTTTTCTGCTGCTGCTTGTTGACTGTATGTAGTCCAAAAATTAAGTGCTTGATTTCATAACCTGCACTATTATTGGTGAATAATTGATAATGGGAGTAATGCTACCTGCAGCCTTATGCATTACATAGAAAACTGATGCATCCAGCAAGAGTTATAGTGTAGTAATGTCCAGAGGTAGGTGTGGTTTCATACTGGCCAATAGGAAATAGGGATATAAGAGGAAAAGAAGGGGACTTTGCTGCATGTACAGACCAGTATAAGCCCCATCACTTGCTGTATTAGGGTATTTGTGGCATGTGCAGAATTCTGCCAGTAGTTATCAGGAAGACTGATGTTAAACCCAGCTGTGGTTCTCTGATTACCGCCCTAATGTGAGTAAGAAAACTTGGTTAAGTCATGGTTCTGAGAATCAATATTGCTTTACATGGGTTTAATTGAATCATTATAGTGGGTGTAAAAGAACAGATTATGTGGCTTGGGTTGTGTGGCTTTTCTTCTTAAGGAGCTTTGTGTGTGTCTGTTTGTGTGTATGCATGCTTACGTGTTGTAGGGGTCTTAAGATGAGTATCAAGTAGGAAATGAAAAAGCTGTGTCGGTGCTTGATAAGGTATCATGTTGCGCTCTATCCCCCACTTTTATTATTCCTCTTCTTTCCTCTCCTCTTCATGCCTAGCCTTGCTGTGACGTTGATGTCCTCAGGCCTCTGTTATCTGCTTCACTCCCACCAGGGCGTAATTACAGGCCTGAGAGACTCCTGTCCTTGCACTTAACATGCACATACACAAAAACACTCTAGATAGACACATGTGCACACAGTCCCACCCTCCTTTCCTGTTTTCTTGCATATATATGTATGTTCACCTGTTATACAGATGCCTTAATCTTTTTGACAGCAAGTCTGAATGTCAAATTCCTTCCCTAAAATACAGCTGTTCGGAGTTTTTGCAATCCACCTGGATGTTTTTGAGCATCCTCCATCACTTTGACCATTCACTTCACCCTTTTCGAGACAGAAGGAGCCTTTTCCCTAATTGGTGGAGGCAATTTTCCTGCAGCTAGGAATTCACTAATGTGCTTTTCTTCACCCTTTCTCCTACTGCCATCTCCATACCAATGGAGTTGCATTGTGAGGGGCATGGTAAGGGTAATGAATTGCTCTGGTGGTGGTCAGAAATGTAATGGACATCACACAGAGAGAGGGGAAACTATGCAGACGTGTCTTGGTGTTGCGTGTCCTACCTGTGATGTGGTCTGCAGCCAGCTGGAAGGCAATTAGCAGTAATCTGGCTGCTTTTGCCTTGATACAGGATTCATGTTTTAAAGTGGTGATTAGTGAAATAGCAGTTCTATTCTGGGGTTTTTATAACTTGAGGTGTGTTTCTGGTAAAGACGCAGCGGCCCTGTCTGGGTGCGGACATGGTGGTCCTCAGACTGAGGAGTTGTATGGGTGTTGTTTTGAGGTTAAAAATGTGTGGGAGCGAATCGGGACGCAGGAGTAATATCAGACTTTGATCAGATGGGTGAGCATTTAATCACTTGTGACACGTCGGTCTTGTGATTACATAGCTATTCCAGCTCAATCATTTTTCTGCAAGGCTCAGCCAGGAGTTTCTTAAGAGATTTTCAACTATAATTGGGCCGGGAAAATCCGTTCTCTGTCCGAGTTTGTTAGTGTTAACGTTGTCATGCTTCCAGGGGTGCTGTGCTTTCTGGTGAAAAAGCTTTTCCCTGTTCATTGTACTTGAAACTATGCTGAAATGGCATATTTATTACCAAACAAAAGCTCAGTGGCAGGATTGCGAATGTGATTTGCTCAAGGCATTAGCATTTTTTCTTATAAATTCCACATTAAACCAAATGAGCGCCATAAGCACAGTCTTTACTTAGCTCTGTAAGCACAGCCATCAGTCAAAATTTCATCCGTCTTTCTGGATTATTGGAAATGGGCCTTTATTGAGGTACAATGCACTATATGTCCCTCTTAATGTTCCTGTTTCTGTGGTGGGGTGACATGACAAACGTCCAGGTAGTGAAGTTGTTTTTTATGTTCAGACAGAGAGGCATTACTGTTGCCATGAGCCCTAACAGATCTGCTTCCTCTAGCCGTATAATGATAATGAAGACAAATGGCTCCCTGGCATGGAGGTGAAACCACATGAGGATTACAATGTGCCACAAGCATGCATGTGTGAGTGTGCACACACATACTCGCTGACAAAAATATATTTGCCTCCGAAGAATGGGACTAAAAAAGCCTTTTTAATGTGTGTATTTGTGTGGGGGATTCCAGGGTGTGTTTTGTGCCTTTGCATCAGCATTTTTGTGGTTCGTGAAATTGTTTTCTTATGGAAGACAAAAACTTAAACGGTGGTGCCATTGTTTATTGTGCTGTCACCTGCATTTTTTTGTCGCCACCATGACTTGTCACCTTATCAGCCCTCAACCCTTTGAGGCATTGAGCAAAACAATACTGAGTGTGATAACACATTTTCAGCGCAGGTCAGTCTGGCACCACAAGGCCATTATTTGTGCCTGTTGTGTCATTATCAGCTAAGGACTTTGAAGAATGGCCAATGTGTACATACACACACACACACACTCCTTCATTTGCCAATGTTTTGTTTATCTTTTGTCTCTTTAAGTTTGAGACTGGCTGAGTTTGTGCTTCAGCGTTTAATTTTAGTCAAATCAAA